CCTTCTGACAACCATCAAACTTGTTTTTCACTGCTCTCACGCGATCCGGTCAGAGGGAGAGTATAAAAGTGTAACACCCAGAATTAAGAGTTAGAAGTCTGCTGTGGACCAGCGCGCGGTGCCCAGCTGTTGGTGTGATTTCCTGTCATTCGGGTCGAAGGCTTCCCGACCACGTGTCACGGTGAGGGGCTCTCATATCAATTTGTGTGTAAAGAGTGTACAAGTGTACATGTTTGCTTGGCTGTTTTCTGTGGCAGATTAATAAATGACACTATTATTTCTAGCAGGACAGTCTACTTGTGTTTCATTTTCCTCTCGTGTGAATTATTGGGGCCGACCGTTCACGAACCTTTGTTAAAGAAATTTCATAAAACACCGAGACACAAAAGGATCTGTCAGTGAGGTAAGATCTGAACCAATTGAGGGCTGATCCTGTGACGCCCACCCACTGCTCCAACCTATCAATGAGGATCTCATGGTCGATGGTGTCAAAGGCGGCTGTGAGGTCCTGTTGGACCTCACAGCCGCCGATTCACCGGAATCTGTGAATCTGAAGATGTGGTTAAAGACCTTGAGCAGGGCAGTTTCAGTGCTGTGGAGAGGTTTAAAGCCAGATTGGAAAAGCTCTAAGATGGCGTGATCCTCCAGGAAGCACTTCAACTGGGACTCGACTATTTTCTCCAGTACTTTAGAAACAAATGGGAGTTTGGAGACAGGCCGGAAGTTGGACATGACTGAGGGGTCAAGGTTTGGTTTTTTTCAGGAGAGGCTGGACGGCAGCATGTTTAAAGGTTTTTGGCACCACGCCAGTGGATAAACTACTGTTTACTATGGTACGAATGGACGGACCTAGAGTAGGAAAAACCTCCTTTAGTAGTCGAGGGGGGACCACGTCAAAGGGGGAACCAGAAGGTTTCAAGCTGCACGACCTGCATAAACGTCACTGCACATCAAACAGGAATGCCACTGTCAAGGAAATAACAGAATGGGCTCAGGAATACTTCCAGAAAGCATTGTCAGTGAACACAATCCACTGTGCCATCCACCGTTGCCAGCTGAAACTCTACAGTGCAAAGAGGAAGCCATTTCTAAGCAAGCTTCACAAGCTCAGACGTTTGCACTGGGCCAGGGGTCATTTAAAATGGAGTGTGGCAAAATGGAAGACTGTTCTGTGGTCAGATGAGTCCCGATTTGAAGTTCTTTATGGAACACTGGGACACCATGTCATCGGAACCAGAGAGGACAAGGATAGCCCAAGTTGTTATCAACGCTTCATTCAGAAGCCTGCATCACTGAAGGTATGGGGTTGCATGAGCGCTTGTGGCATGGGCAGCTTGCATGTCTGGAAAGGCACCATTAAAGCAGAGAACTATGTTCAGGTTCTAGAACAAAATATGCTCCCATCTAGACATCATCTCTTTCAGGGAAGACCCTGCATTTTTCAACACGATAATGTCAGACCACATTCTGCAGCAATCACAACATCATGGCTACGTAGGAGAAGGATCCGGGTACTGAAATGGCCAGCCTGCAGTCCAGATCTTTCACCTATAGAGAACATTTGGCGCATCATAAAGAGGAAAGTGCGACAAAGAAGGCCCAAGACAATTGAACAGTTAGAGGCCTGTATTAGACATGAATGGGAGAGCATTCCCATTTCTAAACTTGAGAAACTGGTCTCCTCTGTCCCCAGACGCCTGTTGAGTGTTGTAAGAAGGCGGGGGGATGCCACACAGTGGGAAAAATGGACTTGTCCCAACTTTTTTGGGATTTGTTGATGCCATGAAATTTGGAAACAGACTTTTCCCTTAAAATGATACATTCTCTCAGTTCAAACTTTTGATCTGTGATTTGTGTTCTATTCTGAATAAAATATTAGATGTTGGCACCTCCACATCATTGCATTCAGTTTTTATTCACAATTTGTTTAGTGTCCCAACTTTTTTGGAATCCGGTTTGTACATTATGACTGAAAGAGCCACAATAGTTTTAATAATAATAATAATAATACTTTATTTATAAAGCCCTTTAAAACAACCACAGCTGCCACAAAGTGCTGTACATATAAAATCAAGAACATTTAAACACATAAAAACAGTTGTTAAAACATTAAGATCAATAAAAGTAATAAAAACAGTGCAGATCAAATTCAGTGTGTGCTAAAAGCCAGGGAGTAAAAATGTGTTTTTAAAAGAGTTTTAAAACTGGACAGTGAAGGGGCTTGTCTGATGGGAAGAGGGAGATCGTTCCACAGTCTTGGAGCAGCAACAGAAAAAGCTCTGTCCCCTCTGAGCCTCCGCTTAGACCTCGGCACCTCCAGGAGCAGCTGATCAGCTGATCTGAGGCACCGAGCAGGAGAGTATGGGTGAAGCAGCTCAGAGAGGTAGGATGGAGCAAGACCATTTAAACTTTTAAAAACAAATAAAAGAATCTTAAAATGAACTCTAAAATGAACAGGCAGCCAGTGGAGTGAAGCCAGAGTGGGGGTGATGTGCTCCCTTTTTTGAACTCCAGTTAGAAGCCGAGCAGCAGCATTCTGGACCAACTGGAGGCGTCTGAGGGATGACTGGCTGACTCCAAGGTAAAGAGCGTTACAGTAATCCAGCCAAGAGGTGACGAAGGCATGGATTACTGTTTCCAGCTGCTGTTTTGTAAGGATGGTCTTTACCTTAGCCAGCTGTCTGAGGTGATAAAAACTGGTCTTGACCACCGCTCCAATCTGGGACTCTAATTTAAAATCACTGTCCATTTTAAAACCCAAGTTAGAAATAGTTTTCTTTACATGTGGTGCCAGAGGGCCCAGATCAACAGGGCAAGGTTCACAAGAGCCACTAGGACCAAACACCATCACTTCTGTTTTCTTTTCATTGAAATTTAAGAAGTTTAAAGACATCCAGGCTTTGATGTCTTCAAGACACAACAGAAGTGGCCTAATTGAGGGGGCATCTTTCTTTTTAAGTGGCATATAGATCTGACTGTCGTCAGCGTAACAATGAAAAAAGATCCCATGCTTTCTAAGGATTGATCCCAATGGAAGCAGGTAAAGGGAGAAAAGCAGGGGACCTAAAATAGAGCCATGTGGAACCCCAAAACACAGAGGAGCAGTGGAGGATTCAGACCCAGCTATGTTGACAGACATGGTTCTGTCTGCCAGATAGGACCTAAACCAGCTCAGTGCAGTACCACAAATACCCACTTGGTGCTGTAAGCGTGATATTAAAATGTTATGGTCCACAGTATCAAAGGCAGCTTTTAGGTCGAGCAGGACAAGAACCACATGTTCACCAGAATCATTAGCCATAAAAATATCATTAAAAACTCTGACTAGAGCTGATTCTGTGCTGTGGTGAGTTTTGAAACCAGACTGAAAAACCTCCAGGATATTGTGCTCATCCAGAAAACATTTGACCTGTGAATATACAATTTTTTCTAAAATTTTTGAAATAAAGGCAGCTTGGAGATGGGCCTAAAATTAGCCAAGACAGTTTGGTCTAGGCTAGGCTTTTTAAACAGGGGCTGCACCACAGCATGTTTAAAACTTATTGGGACAACACCTGAGGACAGACTGCTATTGATAACAGCAAGAATCACCTGCCTGATGCTGGAAAACACCTCTTTTAAAAGACGAGGGGGGACAAGGTCATGAGGAGAACCTGATGGTCTAATATGGCCGACCACATCCTCTAAAAGGGTCAGGGTCACTGGTTTAAATCTATCAAACACAGCCAGGCAGGGGACCAAGCAGGAGGGGTCAAAAGCAGGGGCTGAAATAAGGGCCCTTGTGGTGACAACCTTATTTATAAAAAACTGCAGGAAGTCATTACAAAGTTCAGTAGAGGCTTCCAGACAGACAGGTTGTGGGGCCTTCAGGACAGAGTCAATAGTTTTAAAAAGGACACGTGGATTATTATGATTGGACACAATAATATCTGACAAGTGTTGTTTTTTGGCCTCTTTAACAGTGTTCTGGTACTGACGTTGACAGTCCTTTAAAATGTAAAATGAAACCTCCAGTTTATCCTTTTTCCATCTCCGTTCAGCTCTGCAGCACTCCTGTCTGGCTGCAATAGTTTTTTCATAAAAACCAGGGTTCAGATCTGGCTTTAGGCCGCACCAGTTTAGATGGAGCTATACAGTCCAAAATGGTTTGACAGGAGGAGTCAAACCAGGAGCTCAGCTGTTCGGTGTCAGCAGCAGAGCCAGAGGGAGCACAGAGCTGTTCAAAGGCAGCAGAGAACTGGCCAGCAGTGGAAGGGTTAAAAACTCTACGTCGCTGGGCAGGAGCGCAGGATTTAACTGGAGCACAGGACAAACCAACATCAAATAAAACAGGCCTATGGTCAGAAATCACATTATCATATAGTTCCAGGTCGTTCACAGACAAGCCGTGAGAGAGAACCAGGTCCAACGTGTGTCCATATTCATGTGTGGGACCAGCCACCCACTGAACCAGGTTAAATGAGTCAGTGAGGCTGAGAAAGTTCTTCACCAGTGGTTTCTCTGGGCAGCATACATGTATGTTAAAATCCCCAACAATAAGCACTCGATCATAGTTTATCATTATTCCAGTCAGGAAATCAGAAAAGTCATTCAAGAAATCCTTATTATATTTAGGGGTTCTGTAGATGACAGCGCACAGCACGGGGTGTGAGCGACCCACCTCAAATAAAGTCACCTCGAAGCTGGAGAATGAAGATGGTGCAGAGCATTGCTTGCATTTAAAGTTGTTTTTATAAACCACCGCCGTTCCTCCTCCACGGCCTGACATCCGAGGGGAGCTTAGATAAGAGCAGCCGTCTGGTAGAAGTTCAACAAAAACACTGGAGTCATCAGCCTCAACCCAGGTCTCTGTGATGCAGAGCAAATCCAAATGACGGGAACTGAAAAAGTCCCGCAGGATGAAAGTTTTGTTTGTCAGAGATCTGGCGTTCACCAGGCCAATCCTGGCAGAAACCACAGCATGTAACCTGACGGGCGCTAGGGCCCTAGGCAGCGTCTTCAGGCTCTGCAGGTTCACTCCACGCCGGTGGAGCCGAGAGAAGCAGGAGGGGTGGGGGCGAACGCCGGCATCCAGGCCGGTGACAGGTAGCAGGTAGCTGTCAACAGGATTCAGGAACTGCCAAGGCACAGAGAAAGACGGAAATAATCCATTTCTTGTCTGAGAAATGGACGTAGAATGGGCCAGGCAGATCTTTAGTTTCACCAGCTGTCCTCCACGTTTACCGCGGTAACGACAACGTTTCCGCCAGGGGGGCAGCACAGGTGCCCGGAGGAGATGAGCTGGAACTCCTGACAGGAGCGGGGGTAAAGTTTTCTGTCCACCATAATCAAAGGCACTGAGATTGCCAACAACATGTCAAATATCCAGGAGGGACTGGCGATTGTACACAAGCACAGACTTAGTGCTGAGCACAAAACAGAGAAATAAAACAAACCAAACCATGAGCGACAGACGGACGGCTACACACACTGGCGCCATCTTGGAGGTTTTGAGTATGCACTATGCACAAAACGTCCATAGAAAGTTTGTGGTAGTTTTTTATTGTGGAGGCAGAGTATACATAACATTGGGCCTGCACACGCCAGTGAGGCTTGGTCATCAAGAACCTGAAGCAGGACTGGCCAAGCTGGCCTAATGCCTGGGCAAAGGCTGTAAGTGTGACAAGCTCAAGAACCTAGCACAGACATAACACTTGTGACAGTAATGTTGGGTTAGCCTAGCATAATCTTCTAGCTCAGAGGTGCACCCCATTGTATGCCAAAAGTCATGAAAATAAGTTCATATAGTGTGGTGAGAGTGCAGGTAAGCGCCTCAGAAATGCAGAAAAAACTTGTACGAACTACAGCAGGTCAGTATCATAACTGCCTTCAAACCGCAATGCACTTTGGAAGTTTTGTGTCGCTGCTTTACCATCCTGCCAAGGTGGTTTAGTTCCCGGCCCCCTTCCAGCCTCGGGCTCAGGCACCGGCTCCGGCCTGTCATGACAGCTGTCTCCATGATCCTCTACAGAACAAACTCTACGGAGCACTTCGGTTGCATGGGAAACATTGGATGTTCTGTCTGCCGGGCCCAGTTTGAGGGCAGTCATTGTCCGTTGCCATGGTCGTTGTTATCATTATGCTGCTAACAGGATCACACTGCTAATAGAACCATTGTGCCAACAGAACCTCACTGTTAATAGAACCATACTGCTAAAAGAAATGACGTGCCAACAAAACACTGCTAAAAGAACCACACTGCTAACAGAACCACAATGATAATAGAACCACATTGCTAACAAAACCACTTTGCTAACAGAAACATTCAGCTAACAGAACCTCACTGCTAACAGAACCACAATAATAAAACCACACTGCTAACAAAACCACTCTGCTAACAGAACCATTGTGATAACAGAACCTCACTGTTAATAGAAACACACTGCTAACAGAACCACACTGCTAACAAAACCACTCTGCTAACAGAACCTCACTGCTAATAAAACCACTCTGCTAACAGAACCTCACTGCTAATAAAACCACTCCGCTAACAGAACCTCACTGCTAACAGAACCTCACTGCTAACAGAACCACTCTGCTAACAGAACCACACAGCTAATAGAACCACACAGCTAACAAAAACACTCTGCTAACAGAACATCACTGCCAACAAAACCACACTGCTAATAGAACCACACTGCTAACAGAACCACACAGCTA